GAGAACAGTTTGCATTGTGAGTGTTTTGATTTATCTGGTCTCATGAGTCATCAGTCTGCATTGCAGGGCTGCCTATCTCTTTGGCCTCCACTGTACTTAACTAAAAATAAAATAAAACCCAAATAGTTAAAGCTTCTGGGCTTTGAAACCTCCCAGGTTTTTAGGCATTATCGCAATGGCTCCCTAAACTGTTGTTGAGACTTTTAAAGTCCTATAGCAGTGAAAAAGGAAAACTGATTTTTAAGAATGGAGGAAAAGACACAGAGCTATATAGTTGCAGTGATTTGAGTTTTCACTGTAAAACAGTCTGTTTAAAAAAATACCCAAACACCTCAGACAGGAGCCAATCCATGAGAAAAATAAAAAAATAAGATTAGGAAGAGAAAGATATGAGATCTGCTGTAACCCAGTTTACTGATTTGGCATTATGATTATTGCAATGCTCTATTGAGAACGTAGAGTGTGTTCCTTGGTTGCCAGCAAAGACATTCAATGGAGATGAAGAACGGTGTTGTTGTGCTGTACACGGGCAGAGAAGGCATTTGTACTTCTCTTGAACTGAAAGCTCTAGTCCTCTGGGGTTCAGCCAGGTGGAAAGGAATTTCAGGATGGAAAAGCCAGGGAGGAGAGCAGGAGGATGTGGTGAGTGAATCCCTGACGACGTGGTTCCATCAGCCCAACCCTTCGCAACCATATGGGGACACGAAGCGGAGGCTGTAGGAGTGTTCGCAGAGCAGATGTTGGTAGAGGATTTCTGACCCCCGTGGGGCTCCCTGCCCACAGTTCAGTCTCTGTTCTGGGATGAGGGTTTACCCTCATGTCTTTCAGTATTTTGTGCAGCCAGAACAGATTGTGTGCTTGTCTCACGGTCTCTACGCTGAAATTCCCTTGGCTTCCTCTGCTGGCATTGCTGCCAAAAGGGGATCAGTCTCAGGCCCCGGGGGCATTCAGAGTTCCTGAAAAGTGAGTCAGAAGAGTCACTTCTGCATAAGGTCATCCCGGGATTTAGACCTGTTTTTTATCGCTCTGCTCCATGCTCTGCTCCATGCGGAAACTATTTTCAGTTCTCTGGTCCTGATACTCCTGGAAGAGGCTTCCTAGCGTAATTAGCTGCTCGACACACCTGGCTCCTCTTCATATGTTTGGAAATCTGCCATTTAATTTGCAACTGGAGAGTGGCTTGTTTACTAAGAAGTGCAGATATTTTTACAAAGGGTTTTTCTCTCAAAACCCTCTTTAAAAGGGTGTGATGTACAGCATGCATAGCTGTGTTACATAAAGTGAAGCAAAGGTGCATTTTCTGAATGCATCCGTGTATTTGTCAACTTGAAAAAAGTTGAAAAAAAGTGATGTGGTTGTGCCTCATCCTGACATTTTCTAGCACATGGCTGAGGGAGAGTTGTGATGATTTAACCATGCTTTACTTGCAATTTAACTGTGATGTACCTGTGATGATTTAATTTTACTGTGATGGTTTAATCACCTGATATCTGATCAACTCTATCTGTATTTTCAATGCAGTGACATACAGCATCAGACCTCATTTTTTGATGGCAGATATACAGCACCAACCAAAGGGTGTTCATACAGTATCATCCACCATTTATTGGGATGAAGCCATGGCCTTTGCGCTGCACCACTCCGCTGCTGAGACAGTTGATCATAGACCCACAGACTAGACAGAAAGCTAAGTATGAGTTGCCAACAGCAACTAAACTGCCAGTGATCCAGCTAAGGGTCACTGGAGCTTGGGAAAAGATCTTTGCCACCTGCCATCCCTCATTAGGCAGACCTTTGGGAATGGTGGAGGAGTTCACCTTTGTAATCAAAGCCCACCATGGCAGGAAAATCCTTTAGAGATGAGAGTGAGTATAGTCACTTTCTCCTGGTAAAATCACAAAGAGACATCAAAGCACACCAGGCCTAAGACCTAGTTACAAAAAAATAGAAAAACGAACTGTGAGTTCCATTACAACGCCCATAAGGAAGACTTCTCTGCATACCCGTTTGGCAAAGTTACTTTCAAGAGCATAACTACAGCATCTCTCAAGCTGTCGCTAAGGAAAGCTGCACTGAGCATATCTGCAGAGGTAGATTAGCTTTGTCATTCCTTGCTTCATCTTCTGCATTGGATGTTAAAGACGACAATGCTTTTTGCACAAAGGAAAACGTGTAGTACATCGAGACTAACTAAATATCAGACAGGCTATAGAGAAGAGTGCACGCATATCAAAGGTCAATTGGAAAAAAGATTTTTTTGATTCAGTGGAAACAGGAAACAAAACAAAGAGCTCTCCATATATGTATATGTATGTCTCCATGGCCATAAAGAGAATATACGTCACTGTGCTAAAGCGACTGATGATATATGCTTTGTAATTAGACCAATGTCACAGACAGACTTAAGGTCATGTTTGGAAACACATTTAATAGTTGTGTGGTGTCTGGGGAACTGGCTGTGCAGTAAGGAAATTCTTAGCATTTTAAACTACATTTTAAATCCATACAGCAGAGGGCACTAGTGTTATTGAATTGACCATAGAGTTGATATTTTGCTACTAGAAAAATTAAAGGAAAAAAAAAACTCTTAGAAGACACAGAGTTGTCAACAGAGACTAAAGAAGCCAGATGATGGTCTGTGTTGCATGTGTGGATTTATAAAAGTAAATCTTAATGTGTCTCTAGCATAATAGACAGATACTGAATAGCAAATTAGTATGGAGTTCCAGATGGGGCTTTGTGTAAAGCCCATAAAAATATTTCCACAATGTTCTTCAAGGCTTTAAATTAATTTTTCACTCTGTTTTTGTGCTGGCTGATTTTTTCCAGGGTATTTCCATCGTGTTTATGATTTAAAATTACCCTGATGCGAAATGAAGGCACCAAGACTTCGTGAATACTCCTGAAATACTGAAGACTACTGAATAGTACTAAAAAAAACTCCAACTAGTGGCAAACAAAAATGCTAATACAATCACATTAATGTGATTGAAGATGGTTAATTACTATTCGACAGCAAAATTCATGGACCACAGATCTTACCTAAGGAGCCTGATATTGACATTAGACTCATTGACATAATTCTTTTAGCCACAATGGACAGATTCTTCTTCATGATAGTGTAAGAAATATGGGAACCAGGTCCTTTGTATCCCCTTTTTGCAGATAGTTCTACTACAGCTGTATTTTTGATGTAAAGGAACTTGAATTTGAGTGGTTAGTTTGAGAGTGTTGCTCCATAGATTGCATGCAGCACCTCTGATGAGAGAATTGCCTTTGTAAACCTGCAGTGAAAAGGACGGTATCTACAGCAGCCACCCCTCATCTGATCTAGTATGTTCTCCTAAACCCATGAAACCCATGATCAGCAGGACTGTTGTTGGCAGAGGGAAGGGATGGAGAGCTGGGAGCAGAAACATCTAATGCTACAGCCACAGGGTTCTCTAGAGTCATAGGGCAGAAGCATGAGCCACAGAAAGAGACTGCTCAAGGTTGCAAAACACATTAGTTTCATGAATCTTTCATAACAAGAATTATGTGTTATAAATAGCACCTACAGAGCGAATCAAACAAACAGACACAGCCCAGACTTTCTAATTCCCGTTCACAGATTTTTAACCATTGTATCGGCTTTCTCTGCAGTAAATTATTAAAAGTGAGATGAGAATGTATGCTAGTTCTGAAACATTATAACAGGCTTTTTAAAAATGCAGAAATGAATTCTCAAAAACACATTGTCTGAATACATAATTAGAAAAAAAAAGTCTTTCATTAAATGAATTGCTGTGAAATGCAAGTCAATATATTTTTTCCTGTTTTTTTTTTTAAAGAAAGATAGCTTTTTTTTTTTTTTTTTTTTTCACAAAATGAAACAACATTTCCTTACAGTATTTTGTTTTACTGAATACATGTAATATGCATCTGGGCGCTCCAGGTTATAAATATGCTTTAAGCTTGTTATAATTTATAAGACTTCACTTTTTGGCTGACTTATAGGAAATTTCATTAATCTCTACAGCAGAAGGACCTTGCACTGAGCAGCAGATTGAAAATGGACTGAGGGCTGGGGGCTTTAAGAACTGCCACAAATGACTCAGTACTGAAATTCTTAAAATGGTAATAATCATTTGTGGTGTAAAGGTATTTTTTCCACTTACAGTACAATCTGTAGGATTTCTTAAAGGTGCCAATGAAACTGCCAACCTTGAAGCTACAGAGATGCTTTTCAGCATTCAAATGACTATGCTTATTTCTGTGTTCAGCATGCATTTGCTAGCGAGTGTTTCTCTGCTGCTGGTGCCAAACATAAGAATTGAGGAGGAAATATCATGAAATTGGATGATGCTGTTTAACAGTAGGGGAGGCTGGTGTTCAGCACATTTCTTTTGTATTTTATTTTTTTAATTTGAAATAGGCAAGATCTTGCCCTGACATTTGCATGACCTGCTACACTCAGTATTAAAGGTTTTAGTTCTAGTTAAACTCCGATGCAGGAATCACTTTTGTGTAGACAAAGATTTCCACCCCTACAAAACAGGTGTCTCCGCTGCTTGCTCTTTATATTACCTGTTGTCTTGTCTTATAATGGGTCAAGAAGGTTAACACCTTGAATATTCTGATGATTCCTGTCTAAGTCGTTTTTGCCTTTTGAGGCCCTTGTCTCTTCTTTCAACTCTCCTCCTGAGTTAGAATACTTCTTTTAGGTATCCACTGCTGTTGAACTTATCTGCCATCCAACTATGTGTGTTATACATGGGAATGAGCAGGAAAAGCTAGTGTCTGGCTTTTTCTTATCTCCTTGCCAGTTACAGCTGACATACATAGCTGTACAAGAAACAAAATATTGGAGTTTCTATAGCTGTTCTCACCACAGAGTTTCATGACATTGGTTGAGTTGACTGAAAGGACTTGAGAAGTCTTTATTCAGAAAGCACACAAGTATTTGAGATTAATTTAATGTTCTCCTTCTTCCTTCTTTCTTTCTTTCTTTCAGGCTATTCAAACTCCACGAGGACCAACACCAAATAAATTATGAATGTTGAACAAGATGACCTTACATCCACAGCAGATAATGATAGGTCCTAGGTTTAACAGGGCCCTATTTGACCCCCTGCTTGTGGTGCTGTTGGCTCTTCAGCTTCTTGTGGTGGCTGGTCTAGTGAGGGCTCAGACTTGCCCTTCTGTCTGCTCCTGCAGTAACCAGTTCAGTAAAGTGATTTGTGTACGGAAAAATCTGAGAGACGTGCCAGACGGCATCTCCACCAACACCCGGTTGCTCAATCTCCATGAGAACCAGATCCAAATCATTAAAGTTAATAGCTTCAAGCATCTGAGGCACCTAGAAATCCTTGAATCACATCAGAACAATTGAAATAGGGGCTTTCAATGGTCTGGCCAATCTCAACACTTTGGAACTCTTTGACAATCGTCTGACCACTATCCCAAATGGGGCTTTTGTATACCTGTCAAAACTGAAGGAACTGTGGTTGAGAAACAACCCCATTGAGAGCATCCCTTCTTATGCTTTTAACAGAATCCCTTCTCTCCGGAGGCTGGATTTGGGAGAATTGAAGAGGCTTTCATACATCTCAGAAGGTGCCTTTGAAGGTCTGTCCAACTTGAGGTATTTGAACCTTGCCATGTGCAATCTTCGAGAGATTCCTAACCTCACCCCACTTGTAAAACTGGACGAGTTAGATCTTTCTGGGAACCACCTGACTGCCATCCGGCCGGGTTCTTTCCAGGGGTTAATGCATCTTCAGAAATTGTGGATGATACAGTCCCAGATTCAAGTGATAGAAAGGAATGCTTTTGATAACCTTCAGTCACTTGTAGAGATCAATCTGGCACACAACAATCTAACACTACTGCCTCACGACCTGTTCACACCACTCCGCCTAGAGAGGATCCACTTGCATCACAACCCTTGGAACTGCAACTGTGATATCCTTTGGCTGAGCTGGTGGATTAAAGACAAGGCACCCTCCAACACTGCGTGCTGTGCCCGTTGCCACACACCTCCCAGTTTAAAAGGAAGGTACATTGGTGAGCTGGACCTGAATTACTTCACATGTTATGCTCCCGTCATAGTGGAGCCACCAGCAGACCTCAACGTCACGGAAGGCATGGCTGCAGAGATGAAGTGCCGGGCATCAACCTCCCTGACCTCTGTATCGTGGATTACTCCAAACGGATCTGTTATGACACATGGGGCGTACAGAGTTCGGATTGCCGTGCTCAGTGATGGCACATTAAATTTTACAAAGGTAACTGTGCAAGACACGGGTTTGTATACATGCATGGTGAGTAACTCTGTTGGGAACACCACAGCTTCGGCCACGCTGAATGTGACTGCCCTAGATAACCCTGGTTACACGTACTTTTCAACTGTCACAGTAGAGACTGTGGAACCTTCTCAGGATGAGGCACAGACCACAGACCAGGTTGGGCCCACACCAGTTACCAACTGGGAGACCACTAACATGACAACCTCACTCACTCCACAGAGCACAAGATCAACAGAAAAAACATTCACCATTCCTGTGACGGACGCAAATAACGGGATCCCGGGAATAGATGAGGTTATGAAGACTACCAAAATCATAATTGGTTGTTTTGTGGCTATCACTCTCATGGCTGCTGTGATGCTGGTAATTTTCTACAAAATGAGGAAACAGCATCACCGGCAGAACCACCATGCTCCAACACGGACTGTAGAGATCATTAATGTGGATGATGAGCTTACAGGTGACACACCTATAGAGAGTCACTTGCCCATGCCAGCAATAGAGCATGAGCACCTAAATCACTATAACTCTTATAAGTCTCCTTTCAACCACACAACAACAGTTAACACAATAAATTCAATACACAGTTCAGTGCATGAACCGTTATTGATCCGAATGAACTCAAAAGACAATGTACAAGAGACTCAGATCTAAAACATTTATGACATTATGGGGTGGGGGTGGGGGCAAAAGATGGTTTATAAAACAAATGACAAAAATGACTGGGCTAAATCTACTGTTTCAAACAAGTGTCTTTACAAAGAAAAAGAAATTTATTTATTAAAAATTCTATTGTGATCTAAAGCAGACAAAATTATGTGTATTCCTCAAAACCTGTTTTTGCTGCACTTAATTACCCTCCTTGTTCCGTTGTTCCTCCTCAACCTACCCTGGTTCCCATTTGCCATATTTTTCATAGGAGATCTTGATTCCCTAAAAGAACTGGTCTAGGATATTTTGTAAGAATCCTGTTACACTTTGGGAATTTTTATGGTGAATTCTAGTGGTGAGATTTGGTCTATTTTGTCACTTTTTCTCTTTTTTTTCTTTTGTTTTCTCATGCCCTTTTTGAAATTATTCAACAGGGAATGGAATATTAACAGCAACTTTATAAGTGAGAAAAACAAACAAGCAAAACTTTTTTTTCCTCATGTAGTGATTTGCTCTGTATTTACCGAAAGCACCAATTTTCACCGTTCTGTGAAAAAAAAGAATGAAAAAGTAAAAAAAAAAAAAGAAATTAATTTACTTGTGAAAACCTATAAAACCCATGATCTTTTAAACAATTCTAGAACCAGAATTTGTAGTTCAAACACTAAACTAAGATTATAAATAAAATATTGTTTTTTTCTGTACTTGGATATAGCTCATTTTTAGTGTGGCTTTACACATCAACAGTTTGTTAAAATTCTTAGAATATTCTGCTGTGATGGTCCAAAACACAATCGCTTTAAAGAGAATAACTAAACCATTTTGGATCATTACTGAAGAATAGCATAGTTTTTATTTTAGTTTATGTAAGCAGCATACTGGCAAACAAGGGTATTTGACTTGTAATGCAAGATTAAGATCATTCCTCCTAATGGTGTTTTCAGTTATCTGTGCTATAATCATAAGATCTATTTCACAATACCAGGAGAGGTTTTGCAAGGATTTTCAGTTATCACTGAATTTGTTAGACAAAGCTGAATAATTTGTTCTGTTTTTTGTTATTTATGACTGTCAATAAGAAAATTCATCTTTATATCAAAGCTAGTGGTTCCGGTTCAGTTGTTTGGGTATTCCTAGACATAAATATGAAATATGTTTAGCTATCTATAATACCTGTTATCGGAAGTGTATCACTATGTGCAAAATGAAATCAAAATGCTGTTAATGGAGTAACTCACTGGAAGAAGTCTGAGGATTTTTGTTTAAAAAAAATAGAAAGAACAAAGCCAAATCAGAGAAGGTATAGGTTGCTGCAATTTGCATGACAGCTAGACTTCCATAGAGTAATCAGTTTACATTGATTTAAACTCAAAGTACTTTACCAATGGGAAATGTGCATCCTTTTCCTTTCTATCTATATACATTCTCTGGATTTAGCTTATTGGTATAGGAATGGTGTATACCTTGCATGTTGAAAGCTAAAAGGAGGGCTTTGCAAAAGAAAACCAGCTTCAGGACACTGTGTTCTTCCAAGCAGAATTTCTGCCAAATTAAACTACTTCATGCATTGGCAACTGAATAGAAGCATTTTAAGATGATTTCGACTAGGAAAAAGAATCACATATATCTGTGAATGTCTTTTCACCTATTTTCTTCCTTAACCACCCTTACTGTGAGTTTTCAGGGTCCTGTGCCAGGTAAATAATGTACTTAGTTCTTATCAAAATCTCTTTGGAGCTGTCTAGTACTCAAAAGCATGCAGGATGAACACCCTACTGAACCATATACTTCTATTTTGCAAATTTAAGAAGGAATTTCTGCTAAGTTGAGGGGGTAAATACCTCTTGCTGAATGCACAGTTCTCAAGGTTGCAAGTGAGTGTTGTAGTAAGAAGGCCTGAGTTAAAAGAGGACAAAGATAGGTGGAGATAGGTGACGACAAATTACACCCTGCAAGGAGTCTGATAAGTTTAATACAGAGTGAACCCAAAGTTCTATAATAATCTCAAAGAAACATTTGGCAAGACATTGTCCTTTGATGTACTACATGAAAAATAATGTCTACTCTAAGGAATTTTAATAGAGGATAAAGATGGACCTGAATGTAAAATGATGAATGATTCCTAGCTTTGTATATTTTTTCAAAGTGCATTACAGCATTTCATTGCTGATTTTTTTAAAGTATTGTGCTAGAGTCTGTACAGAAACACTGCAATTACACGTTGTTAATTGTACTTTGCCCATCTAGCTAGTAACATTGTGTCCATGACCAATGCTTATCTGAAAACTGAAAAAAATGTTTCCTGGAAACCTAGATCTCAGCCATCTGTAATCAATAGGTTTATGTTAAAATATTTTGACTGCTCTCTAACTAGTTTTTGTGAAAGCACTTATGGTCACCATGGCTTTATAAACAGGTAGTTTTTACTAACTCCTAAAGGTTATGCATAGGAGGCCTTTAAGAAAAAAAGGTATAGCCAAGAGGGACAATGGGTCAGTGACAATCTTTATTCCTCTTTGGAGTAACACAAAATAATACCAGTGACTGTTTTAAACAATACATACTTTGTTTCTGAGGATTAATCTGGTTTTATTGTCTAATTTAAAAAGTCAGATATTCCTCCTTGCTCATAATAAGTATAAAGAAAACACCAATTTGGTGTGTTTGGTCGGGTGAGTATATGTGTGTTATGTGGAAACCATATTACTTATGATTTTCCCAATATCTTACCTATCCTCACAGGAACCACAGAGATTATTTCTGACTCCTTCCTGCTTCTGAAAAACACCTGGTACTTTTGCAGATTAATCAAATACCAGAGTTAAAGAACATCACAATTCAAATTATAAACTGAGCTCCGCAATAAAGTGAGAAGAGTGCTGTGCTCTATTGTTTTGGTGCTTAAATGGCATGCCAGTGCAGCCTGTTACTGCTCCAGAGACTATAAAGTTAAGAATGAAGCCTGGGTCTCCTATGTAGAATCACAGAATCATAGAATGGTTTGGTCTGGAAGGGACCTTAAAGATCAAGTTCCACCCCCCCCTGCCATGGGCAGCCCGCCACTACACCAGGGGCCTCAAAGCCTCATCCAGCCTGGCCTTGACCCCCCCCAGGGATGGGGCATCCACAGCCAGGGCAACCTGGGCCACCACCTCACCACCCTCAGTGAAGATTTTCTTCTTTATATGTAATCTAAATCTGGCCTCTTTCAGTGTAAACCCGTTAATCGTCATCCTGTGGCTACATGCTCCTGTAAAAAGTCCCTCTCCATCTTTCCTCTAGCCCCCTTCAGGTACTGAAATACTACTGCTATAAGGTCTCCCCAAAGCCTTCTCTTCTCCAGGCTGAACAACCCCAACTCTCTCAGCCTTCCTGGTATGGGAGGTTCTCCAGCTCTCTCACCATCTTTGTGGCCTGCTCTGGACTCGCTCCAACAGGTCCAGGTC